ACAACAATTTGGTCGGAATTAAAAAAAATCGATTTTCGTGTTCATCGAGAGTTCGGAAAAGTGTGTTGTGTTACACCAAATCGATGATAATAATACGAACGACTCAAAAGAAAATAATGATAATCATATTATTATTATTATTATTATTATTATTATTATTATGTAAATCGTCAACTGAACGGTACACACAGGCGGAGACGGAGGCGATTAAGATTATGACGTAGTGGAGAGAGAGGTAGACGCGCGCCTGTACGGACGACGGAGTATACAAATCTAAAACGAAAGTGATGAATGAAAGGGAAACCGAACGTTGTATGTGGTTCCGGCGACGGCGGCGACCGAGTGGGTAGTAGTATAATAAAAGTAAATTAATAAAAAAAAAAGCGACGAATTTAGTTTTTGGGCCGGGGAGGAAAAATTGTATAATAACAAAGGCCCATCACCCCCTCCCCCCTCGAACGAATAGTTGCTGCAGTCTTGTGTGTAAGCGTGATAACGCGGATAAGCGAAAAAAAATCGGTCACAGAGATGGAGGGGGGAAGTATTTTATAGGACCTAGCCAAAAACCAATGTCGTGTCCTTGATCCGTTCTCTTATAGTCGTTTCGCACTCGCACTCGCAAACACGCCCAACTCGCATATTACACAAACACACACACACTCGCTTACATGCACTTACGAGCACACACTCGCACACACACAAGGGCATCGGTTCTGCGATTTTATATATTTCGGCCAGCGTCAAGGCCGGTCATCCTAATATCTACTAAGTCGCCCGCCCCACCGCGACCGACCGTTATGGCACACACCGCCACCGCAGCGTTTCCGTTCCTTTGTTGCCGAAAATTCGTTGCGCAGATATGGAAACAAAGAAGGAAAGAGAACATAATAATATTATAAGGAAAAATAATAGTAATAGTAATAATAATAACAACAACAATAATAAAACTTAAATGAAAACACAACGTCACACAATCGGCGGGGAACAGGCGCGAGGTTAGGCGCACGGACGGAGAAAACGCGCTTTTTTCACAGTCGTATAACCCAAATAACATTTTCTCCCAGATATTTATTTTTGCTTTCCTGAGAAAATATTTGGACTCAAACGATTGTTTGTACTGCAATTTCCCTGTCGGTTTTCCTGCGATTCGTAAATGGAGGATCTGCGACGTACAAAACTGCACTGCGTCACACATACCTACTATGGTCTATGGCTACCCCGCGGAATACACGAACACGATCAACGTTGGAATGACAACATTTATTCTTCACCCCCGCGAGCAATCAAGGAATTTTGTTTTCTATTTTAATTCACGGGTATGCATTACCCGTCTGACAATATAATGGACCTCGAACTTTGGGCATACGCGCCAGACGACAAAATATAATAATGTAATTTGAATAACATTATGATTTTTATTATCTTCTATGCACTCTCGACTAGAATTCTCGGCAGACGTCTCGTACACGTCACACACATTCCACAAGGACAAAAGGAAACTAGGATGACCCAACCCGAAAAACGCGTACACTGGGTATAATAATATAATATTATGATATTTTATAATAATATGGTCGTACCCATATCGTATGCCGATATAATAATATAAATACCGCAGCGAGTCAACTAGAGATACGGGTTGTACCTACTCCGGATACAGTAAAATATATACACGTATAAATATTAATATTATACAATATCATGTGTTCTGCTGGGTTCACGTGGCGCCCTACACTTCCTAATAATATTATTATGATGTTAATATTATACAGCGTGCGCGTCGTTTAAAGTTCAAGACGGGAGCCGTCGCCGAGGAGTACATTATCATGATATTACATATTATTTATTTTACAAACAATAGGTACAAAAACCTGCACCCCGTCAGTTTATAATATAATGATGCGTCTATATTATTTCCCGTCCAGATTGCCGCTATTATAAAATATGAACATAGCGTACAACGACAATATCGTTACCACTATTGAATCTTCGAGATATTTTTCCATTATTTAGGTACCTACTAAATTCTAATATGTACCACACATTTTTCCAGGGCGATGTCTCCGATTTCAATTTTACGGCTTATGGTGAGCTTTCCAAACAGCGAAAATTACTAGTACGAATTCTCTAGGCCAATAATACACCAGCCATACGATGTTATACGTCATAATATTATATTTGCAATCTCCAATCTGAATAAGTAGAACTTTTTGCACTGTTCCAAAATGCATATCATGTTCCCGCTGAAAACACAATACAAATTGGAATCGAAGCGCGGCGTATACAATATAGAAATCGATTATATAATAATTACACTATAGTGAGTTATAGGGACATATCCCGGGTTGAATGACTTACAATCGAAGGTCTCTACAAAACGCCAAGGCTGTATTATGTATATGTGCTATTTATTATGATTTATGACCTATTTTTGCCGGAATATCATTATAAACAATTTATACTCTAACTATAAAATATGTATACAAAGACAATGTACAATATTCTTTGTAAAATCCATATCTACATCAACAAAATTAGGCAAAGACTGCAATGTTGTGTAACTACTCCGTACTCGTAGTAGAAAATAATCATTATTAAAAATGAACAAAGAAACAGATAAATTATTAATTAAATACCTAATAAACTAATTTATTCAACAAATATTTTTGATTTATTTTTTATTCTATTCCAACCGTGCCAAGTTATAACATTAAAACAGTGTTTAAAAAAATGTAAATTACAATAAATCAATTTGTATTAATTGCGTGGTAACCCTAACGCCGTGTCCTACGTAAATCCGTCAAGTCCGACGATTTCTATTCTGACCAGCATATCCCGTCGCAATACGATGCGACATATTCGATGAAATACAAACTGTTTTGTTTTTAGTCGGATTCACGTAGGACAAGGCGTAAGGTGTTATTGGAATGAGCATATTTTGAACAATTGTATCAATCGCATATTTAAATAACTCAATAACTACGTAAACTTCAAAATTAATTTTTTAGTTAAATTTAATGAAAATCTTTACGAGAACTTGCATGTCAGCCGATAGATCGAATAAATATTAGATCAGTGTTTAAAATCAACATATAAAATATAATGCAGATTAGATCACAATTTTAGTATCTGCTGTATATAACCAAATTACAGATATAATACCTACGTTATTTGACTACCAAAGCTCATACATAATTATATATACCATTTATGATGAACATATTTATAATTCATTACAATTAGACGTATTACCTATAGGATAATATTACCATTCATCTATACGATAAGAATAAATATAAGTTATTTTAATGATACTATAAGGCAGTGGACTTCAACTATTAGGTCACGACCCAATATTCAGTCACGTAAGCTATGAAATTATAAATTATGAATTCGATGAACAGCCATTTACAGTATGATGACAGTTAAAGTGTCTACTGACATGAGATCCCAAACTTTGACAAATATTTATTGAAACTTCTTTGAAAAGGTTTTAGGCACACTTATGCAACGGAAAAAAACTCACACTAGCAGCTAAAACTTTTATTTTTCTTCCATGGTCGACAGTCCGACATGGGTCACAAACATTATTTTACGAAACAGTTGGTCGTGAGTAAAAATATAGTTGAAGACTACCTACTACTATAAAGTATACTATGTAGTCAGAATGCTCGAGATCGACTAAAAATGAGCAAATTAAATATATTATATAATTATAATTACCTACTTTTGATTCAACAATAGACGTAAATTAATTCTTAGTTAGGGAGCCACGCGATAATGCTCGTTTCTTACTTTAAAAGCCTAATTAATTAAGCGGATATCTTTGTTCAAAAAACAAAATCATTCCCACAACTCCAGTATTTACTACCATATTACAGGTATATCGTGAAAATATTTTACTCGATTAAAACAATTATATTTTAACTTACCACGTCGCATGTCAGCCACATCATATGCACTTCTTTGAACCGCAGAGCAACCACTGGTACATCGGACCCGCTCACCCGAGTTCTCTGCTCTTCAAACAGCTTACTTTTTTGCTTGCCCCGCACCAAGTAGATCTGTATAGTCCTGCGTGGTATACAATATGATTAGATCCATGTATACTCTCATGAACAATAAATTAGATTTAAGCTTGAGTTTAGTATATCAATCACCAAGACTTCTAAATTTAACACCAACGTTTTTCGTTGGTTTTTTCGTTGGTTATAACATGTGGGAGGCTTTAAACACACCATTTTAGTCATCAATCCTCATATTAATAATATCAAATACCAAAAAGTATCATTTACTGAAACATATTTTGTTTACATCTTAAACATTAAGTACATATTATACCGAAGGATAAGTGATTACACCACGGTAGGTATACCTAAGTATTGTTTTTCTAAATTATTATCCACTACCTTCTACCTATAATCGAATGTCACTATTATTCAACAGTCAACCACCATCCAGTCAAGTTTGATTTTATCATTTAAATTCCAATCAAAGGTAAATATTCAACTTGAAGTATTCACTTGTGTGGCGTGTACTGACAAACACAATATGTATTATTTTCATAGATTCATTACAGTACGATCTGGTCGAAATGTATGCATCTATGACAATAACAAGTAAATACATTATTTTTGTAATTATTTTTATGTTTACAAGTTCAAATATAATAACTATGTATCTAACATTTGATTAATAACTCATAATACTAAATTTCTGCAGTGTCCAACTCAAGATACACAATATACTGATATGTACCTAGCACAAAGAACTCTTAACATAAAATAATAATAATAATAATAAAAAGACAGTTGATGTATACAAATATTGGTGACAAAATATTACTTCAGTTCTAGTTATAAAGAGCTGGGAGCCTGGTACACCCATTTTCTTGTGCCTCTACTCGACAAGTCCATGTGACCATACAGCTAGGCGTGGCTCCTCGTCCCCGCTTTCCAGTCATCAGTTTTTCCGAGAGTAAACCGGGTCTTTTTGAAAGTTCAATTCAACATAATCGTTCTACGAAAACCAGTATTCCGTTCACCACACAAGAAGTCCTTATGACTGTTCTCCGTGGCATCGCGGCACTTCCACTCGTCGTAAGGGCACCCGCTTTCCCGAGTGTACACTAGGCATTCCTTGTGACCTTTCCAGGCGGCGAATACGCAAGTGTCGGTGTTCGACGGGCACTCGTTTTGCCGGGCGTACATGGGGCATTCCAAGTGTCCGTTTAACGTGGCGTAGCTGCACGTCATCTTGTTCCAAGGGCGACCGTTTTCCCGGGCGTACATCAGACATTCCAAGTGTCCGTTATCTGCAGCCATGTCACACGTCCGCTGGTTCCAAGGGCATCCTTTTTCCCGGGCGTACCTTAGACATTCCAGAGACCCCGAACTCGCAGCTACGGCACATACATTCTCACCATACTCCACGGAAACATCGTCCCAGGGAACGCCGATCTCGTGCGCGAGTTTCAGGCAATTGATGTGGCCGTAAGACGCTGCCTCCCGGCATATGTTTTTAACCTTCTCGTTGTCGAACCACCACGACTTGGGGAACATGGTTTCCCTATCGATTCCCGCCTCCTTCTCGTCGCTGACGGCGAACCGCAGCGACCTGCGGAACATGGTTTCCCTATCGTTTCCTGCCTCTTGGTTTTTTTCGATTTTCAATAATTTGAACAGCTCCTCGCAACAACATCTCATATCGACACCCGGTGCTTCCAGCAAGAATAAATTGTCACGCACGAGCTGGTTGCATTCGTGGTATAACAAGCTAGGCAATTGGTAGGTTCCCTCGTTGTCCATCGTAGCAGTGTACCAAATCGTATGTCCAGAGTACCAGTTGTACCATAATATTTTTTATCAATATGGACACAACAGGTACTCTTGACCTACCAAATGTACTGTAGTGTTTAAAATTTAAATACGTACCATAACAATCTAGGCAATTGGTAGGTTCCCTCGTTGTCCATCGTAGCAGTGTACCAAATCGTATGTTCAGCGTACCTGTTGTCCCATAATATTTTTTATCAATATGACACAACAGGCACTCTGGACATACGAAATGTACTGTAGTGTTTAAAATTTAAATACGTACCATAACAAGCTAGGCAATTGGTAGGTTCCCTCGTTGTCCATCGTAGCAGTGTACCAAATCGTATGTTCAGCGTACCTGTTGTCCCATAATATTTTTTATCAATATGACACAACAGGCACTCTGGACATACGAAATGTACTGTAGTGTTTAAAATTTAAATACGTACCATAACAAGCTAGGCAATTGGTAGGTTCCCTCGTTGTCCATCGTAGCAGTGTACCAAATCGTATGTTCAGCGTACCTGTTGTCCCATAATATTTTTTATCAATATGACACAACAGGTACTCTGGACATACGAAATGTACTGTAGTGTTTAAAATTTAAATACGTACCATAACAAGCTAGGCAATTGGTAGGTTCCCTCGTTGTCCATCGTAGCAGTGTACCAAATCGTATGTCCAGAGTACCTGTTGTCCCATAATATTTTTTATCAATATGACACAACAGGTACACTTGACATACCAAATGTACTGTAGTGTTTAAAATTTAAATACGTACCATAACAAGCTAGGCAATTGGTAGGTTCCCTCGTTGTCCATCGTAGCAGTGTACCAAATCGTATGTCCAGCGTACCAGTTGTACCATAATATTTTTTATCAATATGACACAACAGGTACACTTGACATACGAAATGTACTGTAGTGTTTAAAATTTAAATACGTACTGCAGAAAACAAAAACTCGAAATGGTCACTTAAAAGTCAAAATATTTAACAATAATTATTATAATTAACATTAAAAATATGATGAAACTACCTGTTTGGTACGGGGCGTGAACAGCCAGCGCCAAGCAAAGTAAAAGCGGAGTAGCCACTAACGTATAATAACGGGAGCTAAGTTTTACCATATAATATCTTACAGCTTCTGTAGCCTAAAAAATGTAAATTCGAAAACCTGCATGTTAGAGTGTGTAGCAAATCAGTCATCACCAGTCAAGGCGAAACCAAAATAAGCAATACGCCTGCGGCGGATAGAGTGGTATGTGCCGTTGCATGTCCGGTGCTTTTTCGTATGTAAAAAGTGTAAAGTCGAAAACCGTGTTGGAGTGTCTAGCAAGCCAGTCATCTCAAGTCAAAATCGATTAACTTTCAAGTTAGACACCTAGGTAGGCAATCCAGTTCCGTCAGATCGCGGACAATGTGCTACAGCAAATCAGGTAGGCAATCCACCTTCAGTGGACTGCAGACCTGACGTCAAGGGGCTATAAGTGAAAATCCTATCACACAACACATGAAATAATTTACGAAAAATACTAACTATATATAATATACATACAATCAAATATAATATGTATGCATTTATTGTATGATATATAACAATGAACATTTTGAGAAATGTGCAATTGTAATTCCTAAAAAAATAACACATAGATACATAATATATTAACCAATATAATACATATAAACATGTACCTGTAGCGATATATATTGCTATCTTGCGGTGGATTGCAGACTTCAACGAGTGTCCTATAATATAGAGTCACTATATGTTATCCTGTTGGTTGCGTTATTCGCCGTAGAAACTAACTGTATATAAATATATTGTAACTTTATACTGTACGTTATATTCTATAATACATTCGTCGTCATTCGAAGTGATGCGGTTACTTAGAATTACTTAGAAGAAGTTATCACTAATCAGAGTAGAAGTTTTGTATTCTAAGGTGGAAACCCGGCCAACAGCTGTCGTTATTAAATATTAGAGGTCATATTATACAGTAGGTCGGAGATAATTGTATTTGATAATATTATAAATTATTACGAGTATTATGAGTATATTACTCGTTGGCAGTGAATGACGCGGCATAGCGCGACTTCATGAAACTTAGATAACGGCCGGTTATTGTTAATACACATATTTAGAGAATAACTCAACCCAATTAGATATAATATTTGAATATTTCCACTCGATAGATAAACAGTATATAGGTATTAAGATATCGTATCAACGTATTGTTGTAGAGGTCTGTATAAAGATGAAGTAGAAAATGCATTCTATACACACGATGGACGAAATTCAAATCCAAAAATCCAGTCAAACGGTTGATAAAATATACATATTATATATAGTAACTAAGTACCTACGCGTTTGAAGACTCGCATACAAGACACTGAAACGAGTGTACGAGACACATTATAATATTATTATTATGGTAGAGGTGAACCAAACGTCGTTATCTGCGATGTTTGCTTCGCGGTATTGTTTGCTGTCAAACACCGAAAGAATGCATTATAATATTTTGATCCCACCCAAACTCTATCTGCATTTTAACTCTATCGCAACACACGAATAAGTATTGTTCGTTGCAGTAGACTTGAAAAAAACTAAAAAGTAAAACAAACTCTCCAACACATTATTATAATATGGGCAGACAGCGCGTGTTATATGTAATGTTATAGGTACTATTTTTTATTTATATTTTTGTGTCTGTCATCACGTTTTGGGACAGTAAAAGTGCTTCGATTTTCTTTAATAGTACCTTTTCTGATAGGAAAGTGAATCTAGTTGGTACTTTGGGGGGTCAAAGATAAACATTTTCCAGTAGTTTTCACAAGCGCCGGGAAAAAAAAACATAAAAATTAAGGAAAAACGGGAATTTTTACGCAAATCGATTTTCCAAAAAATCGAATTTGGTTATTGGTGTAGCTTTAAAACAAATGACCGTAGATACATGAAATTTTCACTGGTTGTTTATATTTGCATTTTCTATACACGATAACATTTTCAAAAATATTTTGATTTATTTTGAACTGTTTAGGGACATTTTCATTTTTCATTTTTTTTTAGTTTTTTTTCTAGAAATATCAATAAAATTTTATTTGTTGGTTGCGAAAGCTTGAAAATTAATAGAAGGCTCCTAATATGTTGTTTCAAAGGCAGATGAAAAATATTAAAAATCCTTAGTCACAATTTTTTTTTATAAGCATTTAAAGTTCAAAAATTGACAAAATATGGAAAAATCACGAAAATTAGCAAATTATTTTGAGTTAAGAATTCGTAAAAATTTTTCTTTTTAAATCTAAGATTTGAAAATGAAACACAAGATTCCTTATAAGATTATCTACCTTTATCAATAAAAAAATCTCTACCGGACAGTCAAATTAAATTTTTATGAGCGTTTGAAATTCAAATTTTTACAACATTGGATTTTCACTCGATTTCTCATGTAGCGATTTCCTTATTTTGTTGTAATTCAAAAACGAATAACTGTAGATACATGAAAATTTCACTGAATGTTTATATTAGCATTTCCTATACACCATACAATTTTGAAAATATTTTGACTCTTTTTGAGCTGTTTATGGACATTTACAGCTTTCAATTTTTTTTAGTTTTTTTTTCTATAAATATCAATAAAGTTTTATCTGTTGGGCCAAAAAGTGTAAAAATTTAATACAAGGCTCCTGATATATTGTTACAATATCAGTTGAAAAATATTAAAAATACATAGGCACGATTTTTTTTTATAAGCATTTAAAGTTGGAATTTTGACAAAATTTATCAAAATCTCGAAAATTATCAATCGTTGGAATTAAAAAATTATAAAATGTTCAGTTTTTATAACTAAGAGTTGAAAATTTAAAACAAAGATTCTCTTAAATAATTCATACTGTAACCAAAAATCTAAAAAATATATAAACACACTTATTTTTTACAGACATTTTAAATTCAAATTTGGACGAAATTACATATTAAAAATCCTAGAATAACTATTTTAGTTATTTTGTTGTGATTGAATAATATTATTCGTGGGTACTTGAAACTTCTAAAGTGTACTATTATATATCTATGATAGTATCACGGTTTTTGTTGATGTATAACGTGTTATAAGTATCTAATGGATATTGTGATATGATTAATTTGGAATTTATTATAGGTACCTATTATAGGTCAATTTTTTGTTTAATACCATAGATATGTATATAATATGTCTATACATAGACTGACATACCGCACGCTAAATCGTTTTCTTATACAATATATTAATCGATTCAATTTAATACCATCCTTATCAGTGACCCCTTGTTCTGTACGAGAGCGACACCCACTTGCCCACCTTTTTTTTTTTTTATATTATACGGAATGTCCGATTTGTTTAATCGAAGTAAATTCGACGATTCTTTTTACGGCTTTTTCACTTATTGTTTCCGACCAATCGTAATCAAATTAGGTAGTGATAAATTAAATATTAAATGTGTCCCACAGAGTATAAAATGATCTCCAGTGGAATATAATAATAATAATACGAGTAAAAACCGGTTTCGGTTGTTAGCTGACAAAATATAAAACAAATAGTGAGTGCATAAAGAAATATATATGCATAATATATATATATACATAATATACACATAATAAACATACATATTCTGATGGGAAAATAGTCTAGTGTGTAAACAGGTGATTTTTATGAAAGGTTATACGTGTAAACATAAAACATTTTTTTTTTTTTGGTAGGTATATTATATGCGCTCATTGTTCCCTTTATTTTGTAATTCATGGCTACAATTATATTTCATAATTTTATAATTACAAATGGGTTATTAATTATACTCTTTCTGAAAGCCATAAATCATAATTGCAGCAGGTAGCTCTCTAATTTAAATGTATTTTTGTAAGGCACATTATAGGGAGATTTGAACTATATATGAATGATGAACATAATATTGTGAAGAAGAACGGCGGCGGTAAAATGAAACGCGGTAAACAAA